GCCGAAAGTATTTACTAACCGGAAAGTCTTTCGGTGTCCGTCAGGCGTGCCGAAGTTGGCGGCAGCAGTCTTCGTTCATACCCCAGGGGCGCGACACATTCAAGTCGGGGCTCGCGCATAAAACAAACTAGTCTGGCTGTCATGGCCTGTGCCAGATAAAGACGCACTGAGTCAGCCGGAAACACAATGGCGACGGTCCGGGAACGCAGTGAATGCCAGAGAATGCGGACTGACGAGCCGGCAACGCGGCGTGAGGGGTGCGGCAGCGGCGGCGGCTGTTAGCGCATGTACTCCCTGTTGGACAGACGGGGCAGGCAGAGTGACTTTCGCAAACACTGGTGATGTGGCGCTTTACGAAATGTTAACTGAAATACTGAAGTGCGTTTTTGGATTCGAAAATATTACTTAAGTAGGGTTGCGATATTATTTACCGTGCAATACAATTCCAAGGTATTTTAGTGATGCCAGGGTGTCGCCTGTTAAATGAGCTCCGTTTCGGCCGTCTGCAAAAATTGTGGGGCAGATGTGGAGCAAAGATCGGGCGAAGGACCCCAAGCATCTGTGGCTAGATCAAAATTGGAACGCGCACCATAATAACGCCGGACTACAGCCACCTTGATAGCCATCGTTGACAATTTTGTTTTATGACGATGCTACTACCAACATTCAAGTGTGCTTCAACTGTCTGCTGCACTTAATCAACAAACCGAGTTCATATGCCTTTAAATGCCGTTACCGCAGGAAATTCTGGTTTCATCTGTACAGGTTTTGTTGTTCCCCTTGTATTTTGTTTCATGTTACTTCCCTTCCATTTTCTCCATATACTTCATCTGCATGTAACCAATACGGATTTCAAAGGTGCACACCTGCTTCCCCTGAAATGCACTGATAAAGATACTGATACGAGGAATACCTACCTAGCTTATTTAAAGGAGTTTTAGTCCGACACAATTTTTTCGGTTTGATGTTTCACCGTACAAGGTTGTGTCGTCTGTTCTAGACGTCTGATGCATTATCTTCAATCATTTCAGCTCAGAGAGTTGAGAGGTGATCGTTGTGGACACTTAATGTTTGTTTTTAATTGTTCTGCTTAATTGCGGTTCTTACATGTCAATGCATGATAACTTTTCCGCCTGAAAAACGAATTCACCAATTATCTACACTTATTTTGCAATTCCTCTATGCATCCATAGACCCCGCCCGTAAAAACTCTATTACCACCTTTCCCGTAGGACAGGCCCCTTTGTCTGGTCGTGTGTGTGTTTGGGGTCCTTCCCCGGATCGCTGCCAGATGCGGTTATGTGGCCGCACCTGAGGCAAGCAAACCCCAGCCACCTGTAATACGGGACCGGTGGTAATAGGGCTTTTTGCAGGTGGGGCTGGGGAACACACAGGCGACGAGGTCAAGGAATTGCATGCAAAAGAAGAGCTGTTGGAAATGTGCAGTTGTACTTTGAGTGGTTGCTAAATAGTTGCCCTAACCTCTAACCCTAACCCCTACTCCTAATCCCTAACCGGAACCCCTAACCCTGACCTCTAACCCAAAGCCCAACCCCCCAACCCTTAACCTTAACCTCGGCTCTAAACTCTAACCCTGAAACATCCAACGCGAAAGTTAGAAGGAGACGACAGGCCGAACGTCAAGAAAGACAACCGGCATTGGGTCCAAAAAGGTTGGCTGGCCAACAAAAAAGGAGGATACCAACAGAACACACACCACAACACACAGCAACAATCAACAAACGCAATCACACTAACTTAAAATGACTAAGTAGGTCAACAGTATTTTGTCCATCAGGTGCGGCTACATAACCTAATCTTACCAAACTGTACTCTATAAATGTGACCACGTATGTAGTATGAGTCTTATCACGTTAATTTCCGATGCCCTTATACATTTAAGCATATTATATAGCAAGCAGGCACAAAAATATTCGCTCTTGTACTCATATGGCAGCAAATTACGTCTTCTTCAAATTTTCTGCATGCAAAGAGAAAATCTTTCTGTTTTTTAAAACCTTTTCAATTCCCATCCAATTTTTCGCGCGTCAAACTCCCATTCAGGGTTTACAAACCACATGCTGTACACATTCCGTCAAAGGGGAGGTTGTTTAATGGGGCCATTTTGCGGGGTTCCATAATCACATCTGATCCATTTGGCTTCCGTTTTACGTCTGAGGTTAGGATTGGGGTACCGGTTAATGGTTTCCGATTTTCGAGTTAGGGTTATGCCTTTAGGCTTAGGTTTTTGGGTTACGGTTAGGGTTTGAGCGTACGATTAGGTTTCAGTATTACGGTTAGGTTTTCCAGTTACGGCTATTTCCAGGGGCTACGGTTGCATTTACGGTGGGATTCGAATCCCCGACAGAAAGGTGAGGCTTTTGTACAGCCAACGTTCTAACTATCTGAGCTACGAGACCCCACCGGACAACGCGAGTTTAATCTCGCCGAGTAGGAAATTCGTAGAAGATGCCATTTGCTACTCAATGAGCACAAGAGAGGGTATTTTTGTGCAAGTTTTCTATAAGATACATTTGGATTTAGGAGGACATCGAGCATCAACGGGAAAAAATAACACTACTTAAGCAGTCATTTTTACAGGGTGTAGTTTTTGTAGACGGCCGAATAAAAGGTCATTTAAAAGCCGCCACCCTGGTGTGACTGAAATATCTTGGGATTATGCCGCATGGCAACTAATATTACAGCCCTACTTAAGTAATATTTTCGATTGGAAAACATATTTCAGAATTTAAGCTATCATTTAATGAGACAGCGCATCTACTGTACGCATTTAAGGGATTTAATAGCGACGTTTGGCGGAGGTGGTAGGATTGTCACACGCTGAATTCTTTTTAACGGCATGGCTGCATGTTATCCAGAATGCGCCAATAAATCAAGGCCTAGTACCTCAGGAGTTATCAACGTTACAGAAATTCTGTCATGTAATCTCTGTGGCTCGTTTGTCTCTACCAGTTTGTTCAGTCGATCTAACCGACGTATTCCAGCCGTCGAAGACGGCCTGTCGGTGGAGCTGGGGACATGTTCGAAACTTTCACAAAAACCTCCTTATCACTGAGGATAATTAGGCGTTTTTGCACATTGTCGACCTCCAAAGATAGCTTAGCGTATAGTCAGTCACTTTCAGATCGATTGGCCTCCTATTTTTACCGTATCCTGAATTCCACTCAGTTGTATGCACATGAATCCGCACGCCAGAAGGCACGGTGCACTGAAGACAGATATTGATTTTTATTTGGCGAACTGCGAGTTGACGTCGACTTAGCACACGC